CTAATGTTGAGTGCAGCAGACAGTTAGGTTTCACTTTCACTTTCACCCGAGAGCCTGCAGGAGTCATGGGCAGTGTGTGTGTGTGTGTGGTGGGGGGGGCTCTGCCATGAGGATGTTCGGCTTAAAGACACGTCCCAGGGGCGTTTCTGGTTCCCACCTGTCGTTTTGCTCCTCAGCATGGCTTCCTAAAAACGCTGCAGGATTTCTCAAACATGCATGAATGAGTCAAAGTAAGGCTTTGGGCATGTTTTTTAATGAGAGTATAACATTATAACATGATATAAAACTCAAAAAAGGTTGATTTTACATGATACTGCCCCTTTAAAATTTCAGTTTTGACTTTTAAAACTCTTTGCTCTTTTACCAAAATGCTGACTCATTATTCTTCTGGCCTCAATCTTCGAACTTCAAGTCAAAATCTCCTGAAGGTTCCTAAAACCAGTTTTAAGACATGAGTCCCTAGACTGTAGAACACCCTGTCCCTGTGTCTCTGCGAGACTGACTCTGGTGACTTCTTTAAGAAGCAGCTGAAGACACTGTTGTTCAGAAAAACTTATAGCTGAATGTATTGCTTAGTGTTTTATTAGTCACATTAACTTGTTTTATTGTATGCTTATATGTTTTTTTTGCTCCTTGTGAAGCACTTTGTGATCTCTATCTGTGAAAAGTGCTATGCAAACAAAATTTACTTTCTTACAACATAAAAAAATCTGAGATAAATTTAGATAGATTAAAAAAAATCACATGAAAAATAGATTACTGTACAAAATAACTCAAAAATCTTTAAAATAAAATCTGTGGGCAAACAAATGCTCTAGTTTTTCAGATAAAGGCTACCAGCAGCCAAAGAAAATACAGTACAAAACCTGTCGACTGATATGCCATTAAGCTTAAAAGGGAAACTATGCAAATAAAATAACTTCTGTTATCATCTTTAATTTATATGAAATAAACACTATCACTGCTCAGACTCAGACTAAAGCTCATGGTTTAACTCCTTACCACAAGAGGGACCCAGATGTAATTAAGTGTTGGCACCTCTTCTTGAAAAAAGGGTAATTTCCGTGAGAAGAAATAAGAGGCCAGAAAACCTAAAAAAAAAAAAGGTGTAACATGTTTATAAGTTTTCCTCATTCAAAAGTTTTGAAAGAAGCGTGTTCTTAAAAGTTTGGATGAGAAGATTTTCAACCTTATAACAATGATCTGATACATTTAAACGAATACTAAATAAATTAGCAGTGGTGGGCACAGTTCAGCTAACAGCTAATAGTGAAGCTAACTTTTGGTTTAGCAGACTTAACTTTGGAAAACCGTTAGCGGACCAATTAGCTTCCACTTAATTTAGTTTTGTTAACAAAGTCAAAAACATAAACAACGCATGCAGTGCTGCACGCCTGCATCATGTGACTTGTGCATGCGCGTAGCATATTTTACATTTTGTGTGTCCACCTGTGTTACTCTTCATCTGGAAGGAGACAAAGATGTGTGACATTGATTAAGTGACACTTTGTCCACTCAGATCCTTGCAATCGGGTCAGAAAAGCAGATTTTGTTAAAATGCCCAAAAGCCCTTTAAGATGTAGTTACTCAGTTTAAATGGTTTTATCTCGGAATGATTCAGCAGCAATACAGCAAAGGTAAGACGAGTTCTCTCATATTTTTCAAACTTGACACATATTTGGTTTTATTTGCTTGTGGTTCAGTGAATCCTGGTTGGATTGTGATGAAACTTACGGTTTTGTAATCTTTCAGCAGACATGGTGGTTGTGTGTGAATAAGCTGAGACAGTMTTTTAGTTATGTCATTTTGTGCTATTTGTTTTCTTGCCGTTCCAACTGCTTGTGGTTTCAACTGTGTTTGGTGGACATAGATATGTTTTTAATAAGCTTTCAGCCAAGATTTTGGTGAGTCTGTGGATACTACACGATTATGTTTAAATGACAGATCTTGAGTTAGCATTAGCTTCCGCAAATTTAGTTTTTGGCTAGCTGTGCCCTCCACTGCAAATTCGCATATTCATAAAGAAACTAGCAAAGCATAATTACTGGTGTGACAAAGTAATAGATGTATTTTAACATTATTTTGTAGCAGTAATAAACATTCTGCAAAAATGCATCTTTTAAAGCCAAAAACAGAATTAAAAACACATGGCTACTAACTCACCGACACCTCCTGCAATGAGTAGTTTCCCCATGAACAACAGGAACCATGTGACGCAATCCAATACAGCCACCCTTTAAAGGAGGAAATCAAAGTAAAGCGGACACTGTCATCCACTGACACAAACTGAAGAGATATAGGTGACTTTATTCACCATTAATACTCAGTTTCTCTGACTAAAAGCATTTATTATCACTGTTTCAAATAGAGAACTGTGAATAAGTGGATCTGAGAGACAGTTAATAAGAGTCATACCTCACAATGTTCCTCATCAAGAGAGAAAATGCATCCTTGGAAGATTTGCAAAAGTTCTTTCCATATATTGCTATCTGTTGGTGAGAAGAAAGTTTTTGATTAACTGTGTATTGCAGTACAAAATGAATTAAATTACATCTCTAACAAATTCAGACAATCATCAGTACAGCGGGTAATAACTCACCATAATGTATGCATTTTTGTTCAGAAACTTGATGAAACGTTCCAGGCACCAGAAGCAGCACTTGAAACAACAAAGAAAGAATCGAGCTACAGCATTTTGAGAACCTGGTAAAGAAATATGAAAAAAAAACCAAAACAATCAGTTTTGATTTAAAATCATTTCTTTTTTGGGACAAAATAAGAATATCAGTGTGTCAGAGTCACAACTTGCCTATTAATTTACGATCCAGGTACAGAAGAACAACTCGGACCATCTGCACTGAAGCCAGGATCAGAGAACCAAAAGCCAGAGAACCTGTGTGATAACTGAAAGGCAGGATAATTTAGTATCATATCTTAAACATATCTTATTTGATATTTGAACCAAAATAATCAAAAAGGTAGCAGAAATTTGCTTCAATCATTCTACAACACCTTAGATGTTTTTTGTTTTTTTAATTACGTTAATTTGATTCTATTACTTATGAGTAAATTACTTTTTTAAACTTTCAGCAGTTGGTTCTCAAGAGATGTAATGACTTGTGGATCAAGTGATTGCATCGCCACATTTGTGGGCGCTAATGGAAGAGAGCAGTATTGTTTCTGCAGCCAGACAACAGGATAAATGGCTCGAACCTAGCATTAGCAACGTAGCACTCTGCTACCGTGGCATTAGGAACTATACTGCTCACCCACTGACCCATTGTTACCATACCACAACCCCCACTCCAGATTATAAGCATTAACACCAGCTTTAGCAAGAGTACGTTTTAGCATCTTTTTTTGTTCTTTTTTACACGTGGCCTTTCATGGCTAACGAGAATCAACTGCAAAGGTTACACCGAATCCTAGCATTCCAGTGTGCTCAAGACTACTTTGAAGACAGTAACAGCATAGTATCTCATATTTTATTACAAAGGGTGGAGTACCATAAATGATCAGTAAAAGTATACTGAACAATGTGCAGTTCATCCCTTTACCCCCATCTCTCACTTCCAAAGTAAATGCATTTGTAGGATCTGTGACTTATACCATCAGATTCTAAACGCCACATCTGTGACGCTTTGACTTTTTCTTTTAATGTTTTTTTGGTGTCATGATTTATGACAGTAGCTCAGTGTGACCTGGTAACGCCTGTCTGTCTCAATCAATATAGTAGCTTTTGGTGGTTCCTCCATATTGGTTTCATAGCTATAAGCTAAATGCTAGCCCACATACATGGCACGGCCGGTAAGAAAAGTACCCTGATGATGACGCCAATGAAAACCATATATTATTTTTTAAGGTGTTTAACTTAAAAGCTCATTACATCAAAACCTAAGCATTAAAATTTAACAAGTCAAAAACTCACCGTATGGCTCTGCTAAATGAGGAGTACAGTGGGCAGGGAGGGATGTCCTTTGGCTTCTTCAAGGCCCAATAATAGGAGGCGAAAGCCCCCGCCAGAGTGCACTGGCCCAAGGCGAAGATAAAATTGACCAGCCACAGGACCACAAACAGGTTACACAGATGGAGGACTAAGATGTAGTGGTGGTACACACTCTCCCCACCATAGAAAGCAAACAGACACTGGGCTCCTGGGCAAACTTTGGTAATATTGGTTTGACTGAAGGTCTGAAAAAAAGCATAAAAAAAGATTGTGACCATTTTATTTTTGTTTCTGTCACTGCACATGTGAAATACAGGTGCTGGTCATAAAATTAGAATATCATGAAAAAGTAGATTTATTTCAGTAATTCCATTTAAAAAGT